GAACACCCTGTACATTATTGCGTTTTTGAATTCTTTGGTTAATATTAGGTAAGTTTATTAAATGTACTTGGTGTTTAAAACTTACCGTTTTCGAGATAATCAGTTGTTTTTGAAAAAAATCACGATTTCGGTAAAAATAAACACCGGATTCGGATTCAGCGACCTCAAAAACATGTCCATGAATTTTTTACATTTTTGGAAGGTTTTTTGACCATTTGACCTTTAAATGACCTTGAAATGAGGTCGACTGACCTCAGAATCAGATTCAGGGTCCTCGAAAACACGTATGAAATTTTTCAGATTTTACGGATGGTACTTGACATTTTTGTCTCAAAAACCCCTCAAATGACCTTGAGATGACCTTGAATGACCTCGAAGATGCATGCAAAGTAAAAATAAACACCGGATTCGGATTCAGCGACCCCAAATTTTTTAAGATTTTCGGATGTTTTTTTGACCGTTTGACCTTCAAATGACCTTGAACTTGACGTGATGGAGCCTAACCGACCCACTCATCGTAATCAGTGACCTCAAAAACCCTAGGATACCATCTTCCATTCCCGTGCACAAGCCTAGATAAAATGTTGATTTGTGTAATCTTACAAGATGAAAAACTTTTTTTTTTCAAATGGAATGACCCATATTAATTGTCATGGGTCAAGAGAGTCTTCGTCTATTTCGATGTTACAAGGAGTTTCAAGCGCATCGCTATAAAATGTTAATCGCGTCCTCAAACAGAAAAACATTTTTTTTTAATTCGTGAAAAAATGTCAGCAGTTTCTTTCTTTAAAAGTCATTTTCATAAAATAAAAATTGAAAGTGTAAACTACTTTAAAAATTATACTACTTTAGAAATTATTCAATCACGGAGAGAATAAAAAGACCTGCGTTCGCTTCTAACGTCTATTTTATAATAATCCTTTTATAATATCGTAGGGCCAGCAACAAGGCTCTTCCAAGTATCTTAAACCTAAACAAAACATTAGCCGAACGGTGACGCTCGGCGTTAACATAAACACATATATCGTTTACTAATAAACCTCACAGGGCGATCTTCTGCACAGGGTACAGGGAGTCCTAATCCACAGAGTGGTTACAGTCGGCCCACTGCGATCGTTTACAAAAGTTATTTGAAAAAAACATACCCAAAAAAAGTTCAACTTTTTCAGTCATTTTTTTATCCTTAAAATTAATAAAATCGTCAACATTTTTTGACGGCATGATAATATAACTCTTTACAAAGAAAGCAAACTGAAAATCGTTACTGTAGGGCTATCCGCTGACAAGATCTAACCAATTCTCGAGAGCGCCTTTTTTTCAAAAAATCGACATATCGCGAAAAATAATTAATATTTTTAAATTTTTCAAAAATGTACTCTCTTGGATTGCCGCGGGCTATGCTTGCAGTAAATAGCAAGAATGGGAACGTAAACGTAAACGAGTTATAGAAAAAGAGAAAAGAGGAGATTTTTAACGGTTTTTTCGGAATATCTCGATAAGTAACAAAGCAATCGATACTTACAAAAAGTCAATCGATATATCTTTTTAAAGCCTACAACTTTCTCATTTAAAAATTTTCAATCGGTGCTATATTTTTTAGTTATTTTAGAAAAACCGTTTTTTGCAACTTTGCGATTTTTTTAAGCATGTTCGTAATTTTTGATCGAGTTTAAAGAACTAGAAACTCAATTAAAAAATTTAATTTCCTATGCGGTCATATTTTTTTTGTCCAGGTAATAATTTTGCAAATTTAAAATTAGTCCGTGACAGAATGCTTAGACTATCATTTAGCGAGTTGAAATAGTGAATTTTTTCAAAAACAACTGATTATCTCGAAAATGGTAAGTTTTAAACACCATGTACATTTAATAAACTCTACCTAATATTAACCAAGGAAGTCAAAAACGTAATAATATACAAGGTGTTCCATTTAAAATAACAATGGTATGTATCGCCAAGCGAAATGGAAGACCCTGTAAAGTTAAAAATATTTTCTTTAGATGGTCCATATGATTCCAAACAACTTTTATTAAAATCATTTTTTTCATAAATTTTACAGTTGCAGAGTTACAGAAGAATCCCTCTTAGGTGGAACACCCTGTATAATTTTAAATGGGACGTTATTTTCGCTATACTGACACACAATTAATTTTTCGTCACACTGTAGATGAGTGGTGACGTCATTGATATATATTTTTTTAAATGGGATTATACATTTTTTTTACCTAAGAAATGCCCTTCTAAATTGTGTGCACTGCCCCGCGGGACACCCGGTACTTTTTTCATTAAACTTTATTCCTCATCACTAGAACCTCAGTCCTCTGTGCCAAGTCGATTTCCACATGATGCTGTTTTAAAATAACTGTCGAGATAATAATATCCGCATTGGCAAGTGACCGGTGATCCAATCTGTCAGTTGCGATAAACACTCGGTCATATTATCTCCGATAATGTACGATGGCGTGCAGTAAGCGGAAATTAAATGTGGACGAGTGACCAAATTATTCGAATTAGTCGCACGGATATCCTTAGTTCGACTGCCAAACTTAACAGGAAAAGTTCACAAATCTCCGAAGGTAATTTCACTGCTGTCATAGAACTTCGAAGGCGCACTGTTTATCCTTGTCTTATTTATACAAATGTATAAGATTGTCTCTCTCGCGTAACCTTTTCCAAAAACGACGAGCACGCCTCTGCATCATGACGATTCCACACAGTCGGAGCTTTGAAAAATGAAAATGACCTTTCAACATGTTTGCTTCTGATCTAAAACTTCGCATCGATCAATTTATTCGATACGTATCTGGCGGCACCCTAATGCCGGTGGTGTCAGCTTGGCGTGCCCTCGAACAATCCAGATTTTTTGCTGAGATGTCAGCCATATATTTCATTGACGTTTATGCGTGTGTGAGTGAGTTTACAGCTTTATTTGGTCGAGTGTATGGCACGTGTTTTTATGGCAGTCAGTAGCATTGTGTATCGTGAGCATAGAGCGGCACACGTCTTGACCACATAATTAGCCTATTTCTCCTACTACAACACATATTGGCGCTTATTTATTTGATTGTCGCCACAAAGTTTGTTGTAGAGTTTAACTTAAACATAGTAAACATGTCGAAATATTAAGCCATCAAAAATGCCAGTTTAGCTGCCGAATAAGTTCTATGACAATACATAAACGGTTCTCAGTCTTAAAATGGAATAACACTACTTTTTTATCAACAACACAGCAATCAGTAATCATTATTTCGCAAGATAAAGTTAAGTTAATAGATTGGAATATTCTTATTGCGTAGAAAATGATACAGACGAAGCCATCCGTGCGAAATGATGCAGAACAGAACGATCGTTATTACTATAAGAAAAATAATGATATGGGCGAAGTTTTTCGAAAGCTATGCGACGTTTATTATGGAACTCCATTGATACTGGACGAGACGCGATAAGAATAAAATTTAAGCACTTTTAACGCTTCATTTACTTAACAGCATTACTGAATAAAAGGGAAATATACAGGCCAGTCCAGACGTTTAAACTGAAGCGCTGTTGACAATAGCATGTGGATTCTGGTTAACCTGAACTCAAATTCCACGTAAAAAGTGTTAATTTGGCATAGGGACAGATTTAATCATAAGATGGGCTTTTCTAATTCATTTTTGCAGGTACTGAAATCATATTTAATTAGTAGAAGGCAGTACGTTGTTTACAATGGCTTTAAATCTGCTGAAGTTCTAGCTCCTCTCGGTGTACCCCAGGGATCCGTTCTGGGACCATTATTATTTAATAGATTTACATAATAGCATACATGCATTAGACGTACTTTGTCGTTAAGTACTAATTGTGGGGTCTTCGTCAAGATTTTCCAACATTAAGGTTCACTTGCTGACTACGTCTTTCTCCTCGAGGAACAACACTTCCCGTATCTCGGAACCGCTGAACGCACTGTAGGATTGTATTTGCACATGGGGGTGACGTTGTGGTCATCGTTCCCGGTACAACCTAGTCGCCGCGAGCGCATTTTCTCCGGCTGCACCATACACTAACACCAAATCGACACGTTCGGAAATAGTAAATGCATTGTTTTCTCGGTTCATTGTAAAACTAGTTTGTGCCCAAACTAAAAAATTAAGCAGAGTAAGAAATAAGAATCTCGTTTTAATGTAATCGGCACGCTATTCTTATTTTTTACTCCTTTATAAAAATTACACTGTAAACTCTCGCGGAATTACAAAATAAAAACTTGTGTCTGGAATCTTTCACTTTTTAACACTGATGGGTCGATGGACGATGCTTAATATTTAATAATTAAGTGAATAATGGATTCAATACAAATACAAAATCAGTTGACTTCACAAATTTTTTGACAATGTAACCTAACCCTCTTTTAGTACTAGTATTAGATTATACCGACTTAAATTATAAAGTTGCATTTCGAGTTGCATAAAAACATTTCCAAAGTTTTTAATAAATAACACGGGGTCGGCCTTCATTTTCATCAAATAAATGAACTTTAATTTACAAAAAAAAAACGCAGAGATAGAACTTTTTCGTATAAGTCGTATAAGACTTTTCTATTACAAGTATCATTAGGCAGCTGTAGTTTAATTTTTATAGATTATACACGCCGCACTCTGTATAGACCAATTATCCAGATGGCAGATGGTGCATAGAACGTAGGGAACCACTCAATATTGCAAAGTTTATCGTTGTCATTTACTCCCAAATTATCTCCTCAAATTTTTAATTGTAATTTAAATAACATAAACATACAAAGACCTGTTACGTTCCGGGATCTTGGTGTTATACGAAACTGAGTTTTTTCTCGCATATAGCAATTATTTCCGGTGGGGCACTTATAATACTGGATTTCATTGTACGAAGTAGCCGCGATTTTATCAACATAAATATTATAAAAATCTTATGTTAGAACCCAACACCGACTCCAAACACCAACACCAAATTTCTACACATGTTTAACAACTCGATTATTTCCTTTGCAGATGCAGCATATCGGCGTATACTGCTATGTGGCGGGTTTCGTACCAAAGGACTAGACTTTAAGAAAGGACAGTATGTGGCGGAAATAAGAGAAATCCATCTCATCCAGTGTCGCACGTATCATGCGCCTTAAGGAAGTAGCCGAGTGTATTATTCTTAAGGGGCGGGAGATCTATCTGTAAAGCTTAGGATGCCGGGTCTCATTGTGTTCAGGAGACGATGGAGTGTCGGATCAGACGATTTGGTTGTTCCCGGAGCTTTCCTATGCACCATGCACACGATATGGTAAGCTTTACCCCAAAAATCCGTTTAAAAATAAAAATTGTTCCGTTTTGGTGATTATTTATTGTTTCCAGCAATATCAGCAGTTAGGGGAAGAATATTGTTTGACTTCATTTTATAAAATGGCGAAAGGAACAAATTCGTTTAAAATTCAGGTAATCATTTTGTGGAGAACGCTCGATTAGTATTTTTAGTTGCAGATTTTTTGACATAAGATTATTGTATACAGGGTGTCTCAAGAAGAACATATGCAGTCATCATTGATTTTTTTAATGGAACACCCTGTATATTTTGCCATTTTTGAATTGTGCGGTAAATTCTGAACACTTTTTTTATAATCACGTTTGAAAATTGATATTTTGAAATACACACAAGTAATTAAATAAAATGTTTAAATTGAACTACCTTGAACATTTTTTTAAAAGCCAACAAAATGAACCTGGTATGCCAAATTTTATCTTAAACAAAACAATTTTCTTAGATCATTTTGATGTAGTATTTTGTGACAATAAAAACCAAATTATCATCGGCGTTTGTTTGTCAGTGTCATTTGGCAGTTTTACGTTTCATTTTAAAAATGCATTTATCTGAGAAAGAACTTATTGAAGTACTTATGAATTTTGTTTAACAAATTTGTTTCTTTCACCATGAACGTACTGTATTTTTAATATTTTAAGTAACTCTCTCTCATTTTATGTAAATTTACAATATTTTCACTATCAATTTTTTCAGTGTACACTCGAAACCTATTTTTGCGAGTCAAATTTTATTGATTTGCGGAATTGGTTAGTTTTACATAAAAAAACGTTTATTTTTCTCACGTTTCGTATGAATGTAAATACAACATAAATAGCGTGTAAAAATAGTGAGATAACTGGAATTGCCGTTTAAATTTAGACATTTTGATGTCGTTATACAAAAAAATACTGATGTTCTTTCTCAAAACTGGTAGAAGAAAATTTAAATATCGATTTTCCACCGTTACCAAATTTTTAAAACGGGTAGCAATAAAATTTGTAGTAGAAGAGTGGCAGTAAATGTCTGTAATAATACTTGAAGACGAGATTTATTGTAAACGAATGGATAAATATATTGACTACGTAGGTAGTGTACTAAGGTCATAAGTCTAATTTCGCACGATTGTAGCTTTTGTTTTTGAAAAATTACATAGCATTTTGGAATAACTACAATTTCTTAATGTGCTTTTGTTGTTATACATGGTTTTGTTATCATTTGAGACTAAGGTGAAACGCGTTTGAATAATAAATGTTTTTTACAGGAGGTTTAGATTTACATGCTCATACACATGTATTTTTATAATGTTTTGGTGCACATTTCATCAATTTTTTTTATATCTTTACTTACAACAAAAATTATAATGATTTACAATATAATCTTATCGCAACAACAAAAATTATTCGTGTTATCAGAAACATTTGGCATAACATTTTTGTTTTTAACATAACAAATATAATCACTTATTTTATTTTTCTGTAATAAATTATCATAAACAATCTATCATCACTATCAGCCTCAAATCCGTTGAGAAACCAATTCTAATAAACTAAGCCATACTCTAAGGAAATAAATTTGCTATCTATATATTTTATCATTGCGAAAGAAACATTTTTCTCGATATACGAGGCTAGTAGTGACGAAAGGGATCTCTGCTGTCTTAAACAATGCTCAACGCCCCCCTTGGGAGAATTAAAAACCAATTAAGGCTTTCTTAATTGCATTCAAATGTACCAATTAGTAAGTCGTTTTCGTCCATCTTTTTATTGGCTAATAAACCGAAATTACCTGCTTTATTAAGTCAATAGTACACGGTAAATGACGATTCATTGGCTTCTTATTGAGGTTTAAACACGCAATTAAAGTGGGAGGATATATCGCGTTCCTAGAGATTAAAGTGCATTTTTTAATCCCTTGCGTTAAAACGATCACTTGAGGGATTAAAAATCGCACTTTAGTTCACTCTTGTAATACAGGGCCTGAAATAACTCACATTAAAGAATAAAAGAGCACTTTTAGGTTTACTAAAGTATTTCCATTGGTGAAGATTGTTAAATCACCACCAGAAGGATTAAAAGATGCACTTAGCGTGCATAGTTTGAAATTCATAAAAATAAAGATAAAAAAGCACATATTTTAATACTGTGAATGAAGATTTTTAAATCGACCACCCGAAGGATTAAAAGATGCACTTTAGCTAATTTTTTACTGTGCGTGGCCTGAATTAAATACAAATAAAATTTAAAACAGCACTTTAGTGCTTAAGGTGAAAAATACCGATAAAGTAAAGTGCATCTTTTAAGTAATAGTCCGAATGAAGATTGTTAAATCGACCACCTGATGGATTTAAAGAAGCACTTTAGCTTATTTTTTGCAGTGCATAGTCTGAAATACACAAAAATAAAGATTAAAAACAGCACTTTAGTACTTAAAGTACTAAAAAAACAATATATCGATAATTAAAGTGCATCTTTTAATACATCAGTGAAGATTAACAATCGACCACCTGATGGGTTAAAAATATGCTTTAGCTTATTTTTTACAGTCCATGGTTTGAAATACATAAAATTAAAAATATAAACAGCACTTTACTACATAAAATGCAAAACACCAATATACCGAAGATTTAAAGCGCATCTTTTAATCCTGTGAGTGAAGAATGTTAAATCGACCCCCGGAAGTATTAGATGCACTTGTAGCTTATTTTCTGCAGTGCATGGCCCGAACATGGGATTCCTTGGGTGCTTGATGAACCTGGGAGATCGGTCTTTTAATGAAAATTTTAAATTTCTGTATATGTTTTGCAGTGCAAAACAAAAGCAGTACGTACAAACTTTCTCAGACGAATTAAAAAACGTAAACAGTTAATTCTGATTAATTTATGATATACTGTCTTTATCTTTAATACGACGGGATTAATGCATTACTACACAATTTGTATGAGATTGATAAGATAGAAACAAATCCGTTTTTCCCCAGGGGTTTTTCATTGTCATTGTGACATTCAAATTGCCTGTGAGAAAGCAATTAAAAGTAATAGTAATGGCTTCATAAGTCATTAACAATATGCAAATCCAGTAAACGAGTTTTTAATGTATTGCAATACAGACTGAGAGTGTTATGAAACTTTCCGTCTTACGTAAAGACTATTGTTTTTTTTATAAAGAAATGTATCAATTTCAGTCTCTACAATCTATAAAAACGAATTAATCACGATAAAATTCTATTTATTATTTTATTTTTATTATAAAATCATTTAAGGTGTTCTAACAAATCTACACTGCAAAAAAGATGGAAGATTAATAACGTCAAAATATTTAAATAGAACCAAAAACAGTTGTACTCTGATTAAGACGATTTTATTTGTGTTTCTTTATTATTAATTAACTAGGATTCAATTTTGATGAGTAAAAAATGAAAGTAAATATTACATATCATGCAGATTCTAGAAGTGTTTTTTTTAAGAAGCGAATGTTGCCCTCGATATTAAAATATGCACTTTTATTTCTTGGAACGTGATACACTATTATAAACTATGTGGATTAAGTGTTGTTTTAATCCCTATCAAGTTTAAATTAAAAGAAGCACTTTGGGGTTTTGGTATGTACTAGTGGATTAAAAACAATCTTTTAATTCTGAAATAAGTGTCATTTTTAATACGTATGGATTAAATTGAAATAAGCACTTTAGTCTTTTGATATTTAATATACTAAGTACAGTTGGATTAAAAATATTGTTTTTATCCCGAATCAAGTGTAAATCTTAATCCCTAAAATGAAATTAAGAGGCACTTTAGAGTTTTGGTATGTAATATACTACTTTATACGCCATCGCCATAGATTAGAAGTGGCGTTTTAATTCCGAGTAAGTGTCACTTTTAATACCTATAAATTATATTGAATTTGCACTTTGTTTTTGGTATCTAATATGTAATGTACAGTTCGGGGATTAATAATTCAATTGTTTTTAATGTAGTATCATTGGAATGTAATCTTAGTGAATTAAAGGTACTGTTTAAAGTAAAGTGTCAATTTTAATATCTAGGCATTTAATTAAAATATGCACTATATATTATTATGTTCTGTTCATTACAGTGCTGTTTTAATCTCAAGTTAAGTATTAAAAGGTGCGCTCCACTGTTTTACTGTTTACTATTTCACTCTTCCTTTTTAACCGTAGGAATTAAGTTAAAAGAAGATTTTAGGGGTTTGCTGTCAAAAATACTATTGTGTACTCTACGGATTGGAAGTAGTGTTTTAATTAGCTAAGTGTCACTTTTAATGCCTATGAACTAAACTGGATTAGCAGTTTAGTCTTTTTGTGTCTAATATACGTACAGATTTTGGATTCAAAATTTTCTTTAATCCCGACGTAAGTGTCACTTTTAATCCATTCGAATTAAATTAAAAGATGCACTTCACTTCCTTGGAATGTAATATAATTGTTAATAGTGCTGTTTTAATACCGAGTTAAGTGTCAATTTTAAGGGATTAAAAGATGCACTTTAGTGTTTTACTATTGTCCACTTTGTGGATTGGAAGTGCCGTTTTAAACCAGAGTTCGCTATTCCTAGGGATTAAATTAAAAGACGCACTATCATATTTTAGTGCTTAAAATACTATTGTACGTTCTGTAGGTAAAAAGTTCCGGTTTAATACTGACTTAAGTGTCAGTTTTAATTGCTATAGACTAAAGGATGCGCTTTAGTTTTTTAGTAGGTATATAAACTATTTTACGCTTCGTTTCTTGAAGCGAAGAATCGAAATAGTATTTTTAAAATGCAATAGGTAGAAGTCACGCCGTTAAAAATATTATTTACTCAAGCCGTTTACGTTTCCCTATTTTTAAATAATCAGATAGCAATGACGCACGTAAGAATTGTACATCTTCTAACCTGGCAGTACCTGGCGTTTCGACGTTTGATTTCCTATTATTTTGCGTATAAACCTACATTGGCATTGTGTTGTTTTGTTTGTATTGCTCACGTA